TTACATCATAACTAACTGCGACAGAGCAACTACAGTTTTAGAAAATGCACCCCTGATCAGTAAGATACTACATAGTAAAAAATACTGGGTTCCACACACTTGATTTGTGGTGGAAAAACATGAAGGATTTAAATTTACTTATTAATCTTTACAAATGTAAGTATATTAAACATAAAACAGTTAAGATGTTGCAAAAAAACTCAAGACTTGTGTTGTTTCACCTCATTTTAAATAATCAGTTTTAACACAGCAAAGGTCATTTTTTGAGTGTATGTTATATTTAATTTGTCCATCTTTCCTATCACATTCTTGTTTGTCGCATTAAAGAAGAGTTTGTTTACCATCACCACGGTCAGCACCGGGTATTTCTGCAGCTGTTGAGACCCGTCCAACAGTTATATCATGAGTGACTTGGATGCGTTTGCCCTTGTGAAAGTGTGACAGCAAGGCCTTTCCTGCAGTCAGTTGCTTTGTGATCTCAAAGTGTTGGGTGCCAAAACTCTCTCTCTCTGTGATGTAGATGCCCACAGCAATTCTGCCACAAATTTAAGTTGACTGATACACTGACCTGACTGTAAACCTGACAATAACTGGCCATATCAGGGCCTGCTTACACCTTGAGACCTGGTTTTATTGATCGGATTACAAATGGACGACTGAGCTTGTCCAATTTTGGCAACTTCCAGATGTAGTCTAAGCACCTTTTCTTTGATTTGTTTTATTACTGAGATGTTCATATGTTCAAATACATTTTAAGCAGCCACAAAAGACCACCTGCTCTGTGGTTACTGATTTCATTCTTAAACATTATAGGACTTATAGACAAATAGGATTCAAACTTTGTCATTTAAAATTTTAAATTTGATTTGAATGCAAAACAATATAAAAAGCATGCAAAAAATGGCTTAAATCAATGAATATTTCTGTTTCCTTACTAAAATTCACTTACAGAGTCAACCTTGCCATTGTTTTTAAATAGTTTTTCTTAATTGAAACATATGATTACATTCATTCATTCATTTTTGCATGCGCATGTAATTCGCATAGCGCATGTCATTGGACTGTAGGGTAAACCGGAGCACAGAGGAAACCAACGCCAACACGGGGAGAATATGCAAACTCCACACAGAAAAATACTAACTGACCCAGACAGGACTCGAACCATTGACCTTCATGCTGTGAGGTGAGAGTGCTAACCACTGAGCCACCATGCCACCCCATGTAATTACATTCACTGGCAATCAATCAGCTTTTGGCCATCAGGTTTCTGTAAATATTTCATCCACCACTCAACATCTATTTAATTGAAATGTTTAATTGCTCATTTTTTAATGATAATAGTCTTTAAAAACGCAATAATAAAAAATAGTAAGTAAAAATACAAATCTAATATTTTTCTTATTTGAGAAGCTGTTTCAAGGTATTTGTTACAACAGAAGGGGGAAACGTTTCAAACCCTGCTTTAATGCACACTGATTGCTTCAAAAGCATTTAACTGATTTCTTATTCAGATGACACTGCAGGGTCTATTCATGACAATCAAAATAAAAACCTGGCTTTTAAGGAAGACAGCTAAATAATCATGGACACCTCTAATAATAATCAAGTGCTCTTTAATTATAACTCAAAAAAAATCCCTATATGTCACATGCCAGTATTTCATCCACCCCTCCCCTTTATGTTCTCACTTTCTCCTTCACATACACACACTTAAATAGCTATCATATTGCTGTCCTTAAGGGGACGTCCTATAGAAATAATGACTTTAATACAGAACAAACATTATATTTGATCTACTTTCTCCAGCACTACCTTTCCCTCAAAATCTTTCTGTATTTTTACAATTTCAAAATACTTCATTCTGTATGTTTTATATACAGCTATTTCCTCACAGAGAACAGAAATGTCCATACAAGGTCAATACTATACACCAAGAATATACTTGTGGGTACATTTAGTCTCCATAAATGCATATATATCAGGGAATACCACGTGCACACGCACACACACACACACACACACACACACACACAAGCAAAAACATCTAGCTGTCCAAGGAGACCAGATTGCATCTGAGCTCCTGGAGTGCAACACTGTGTCCTTCTGCCAAAATCATGTTGTTGTTGTTGTTGTTTTAAAAGACAATACTCATTCTGTTTAGCAGAGTCACAATCTAACAAAATGCGAGTAAACATTTGCTAAATGTGTCCAAAGATGAAATATAAACTGTTGCACGACCAAATATTCCAAAATATCATAATACAAAGCTCAAATTCTGTCATAATGGTGGAAATAAACGTCGTAACGTTGAATGCGCTATTGGTTGACATTGAAACCATCATGTAACATCAATGACAAAGCGCTATTAACAGTCATGTGAAATAAACAAGAACACACTATATTCAAAAAATCAAAAGGCGACATCACCTTTCTCTTCCGGCATCGTCTCACGAAACCACGTATATTCTTGTAAACAGAAGAATAAACGCGCTGTTTGAATGAATATCCGTCAGTTTTTTAGTGGTGAACTGCAGTCTGGTGCATGTTAAAGCTGAGCTCTTCGAACGCGAGAGCCGGGCGGAGAGAAATGCGCTTCCCAGCGCGCGCGACACGGCGATACTACAGGAATGAGCGCAGGTCATATGATTCCCGCCTCACACTCGAGCCATTGCTGCAATCCATTATAAATAGAAGCTTCTCGATCAAAAACATGACACCCCTTCCAAAATATCCGAGGGCGTTCACCGTGTTTTGTGTGAGGTGCACAGCAGCAACAGAATTAATGCAACAACCTGATACGAGCACAGGAGATACTGCTTAGAATTAAAGATGTAGTAACGTTACTTTTTATATTTAAATACCACAAAAGGCAATAATACACATACAAACACGCACCTATACATGTATACATAAATATACACACATTGTATATAATTCATAGCAATTATTATTTCAATATTATCAATATTTATTATTTTATTACCATATCTGCACTGTAAAAAAAATCTGTAAAATAACAGTTAAATGACTGTATATTTTAACGGATTTTTTCCGTATACACGTATTACGGTTGTTTTTCCGTTTATATACATTTTCGAATTGCATTATGGGAAGGGGATCGCAGCTCAGGCAACGTTTGATGGACACCGGGAGATATTTCTTCCTCTGTTTTTTCCCTGGTAAGTACGATTAATAAAACATATAACAATATTTTAGTTAAAATACTGCTTTATTACATTTGTATCGTTATTTAAAATGATTTTTGTCTTGTCTGAAGCGGCGATGGAAAGTACAGCAGTAAATTACGTTTAATATTGTTAACAAGATCAGACTTTATATCATTAAGATCAAACTGAGCTATGAGTGGTTAAATGTAATTTAAACAAGCATATCTAATGAATTTTTACCTTTTTATGCGTTATCCTCATCAGTAAATATGATATCTGTTCATTTACAGTTGTTTGTCCGTATTTTTCTAAACTGCCGTGCGCGGGAAGTGATGTGACGTCCCAATCACCCTCTCACTCCCTCTGCACCTGCGTGAGTCTGACTGGATTAACGGTAACGTTAAACGTCAGCTTGTCAGTGAGAGTGTAAAAGGTATGTTAATTATTTTATAGAAATAAAAATGTTTTCTTTGTACAGTGCATTGAACAAGGGATAGCATTCAAAGTTTGTGACACTGTGTAGTTTGGTTGATATAAGTTATAGTGATGAAGGTGTATTTCGATGACTGGTTAACGTTACCTTTAATGAACCTTAACGTTAACGTGTTTCAAACGCCCGTAACACCTGACCGTCTGTGTTTGTTTGCATATTAATAAATAATTTCATATTTTTACTGACATTATCAAATGTTAGCTTTTGTTTGACCGACGTATCAAGGCTGTGTGACCGAGTTTCAGTGGAACAGCTTTGCTGGTTTTTAAGTAACGTTATAAGTTAGACCCGCGTGAAATTGAGGCATTGTGTAACTCGGTATGAGGGGAAATACACACTCATAAAGTTATTATTAGTGATGGGCCGTTATCAGCATTAACGTGCTGCGTTAACGCGAGACTTTTATCGCGCGATAAAAAAATATATCGCCGTTAATCTATTGTCAACGTTGGGTTGGGAGCTGGGTGACTTTCATACTTTGGTAGTTTAGCGCGGATGTATACCTGACCGGTGAGCCGTCTGACAAACAAGTGCCCTTCTGAATCAAATCAGCAGGATGCCTGACTTTAACTGCAGTTCGGCAGTTTCACTTTAACTCATGAACATTTCATTCATCCCGCGTGACAAACTGGGGTATTAGACGCAAATAAGAGGCAAGAACTGATGAGAGTGTTATGGAATTCAATAACGCTCACCAAAAGGAACGAAAAAAAAACTTCCGCATTTCGCGACGTGTGTTTGTGTGTAACAGAGATAACCGAGTGATACAGTAAGTGTGTGACATTTAAACTGATATATAGTGTTTAAACTGTCATGCGTTTAGGCCTCAAATACAACGTGTACCTTAAAGCACACAATTAAATGTTTGTTGTAGTCGAGTTGAACTGTCATGGATATTATACTTATGAACCTCTTGTCAACTTGCAGATTCAGCCAAGTTCACTTTTAAGAACCTCAACGGCTGCTAATATGAAGATATAAATATGAGTTGTTCTTCCACAGTCCTAAAATTCTTCAAACTAACTGTCAGTTCGAATCATTATAGCAAATAATACTTTCATTACTATTAGGAGATCAGGAGTTTTATTTTAATAAAGCCTTGATAATAGAGTGAACACAATGCATAACACATGGTGTTATCACAAATGAAATCTTTTTATGTAGATTTAGAGTCTGAGTGTTTTGCACATATAAGGTTCACTGATGTTTTGTTGACTTCCAGGTTCTTTCATTTTGGTTATAAGTACATGGTACCGGTAAATTCTTAGATTCAATCCAAACTGAATTTGAATTGATATGGACAAATGAAATAAAATACACTTGGGATTTAAAATGTTTTCATTTTTTTATTATTCACAACGTTTGTGAAGTCTAAATGTATACTGTCTCAAACTGAATGAGTGTTATTTTTGTTGTAGGTGTGTTGGTGTAAAAATTGATGCTGACTGGTCAGTACTGCATTTTTAACCATAAAAATAATGATTTATATTTAGCGTTGCATCTATTGTCATTTTACCAAGAATGTGTTTGCTCTTTCAGAACTCAGGCAGTTGTGCTGGACCTTCTGTACTTTATACAGGAGATGACAGTAAACTTTCAAGTTTAAGAGGTAAAATGTTCAGGGTTTTTGTTTGATTTTGAGTGTTTTGTAGATATAAGGTTCACTGATATATGATATAAGATTTGCTTTATGTTTATGTTGTCATTTTGGTTATAAGTACAAGGTACATGTACATTTTCACAGCAATCTAAATTAAAATCTTAAATTCAATCCAAACTGAATTTGAATTAATATGGACAAATTAAAACACACCTGGGATTTTAAATGTTTTCATTTTTTTATTATTTACAAAGTTTGTAAAATTTAAAAGTTGACTACAGGCTGCATGTTTCAAACTGAATGAGTGTTATTTTTGTTGTAGGTGTGTTGGTGTAAAAATTGATGCTGACTGGTCAGTACTGCATTTATTAACCAAAAAAATAAACAATGATTTATATTTAGCATTGCATCTATTGTAATTTTACCAAGAATGTGTTTGCTCTTTCAGAACTCAGGCAGTTGTGCTGGACCTTCTGTACCTTAAACAGGAGATGACGGTAAACTTTAAAGTTTAAGAGGTAAAATGTTCAGCGTTTTTTCTGTTTGATTTTGAGTGTTTTGTATATATAAGGTTAACTGATATTTTGCTTTGTTGACTTCCAGGTTCTGTCATTTTGGTTATAAGTACAAGGTACAGGTACATTTTCACAGCAATCTAAATAAAAATCTTAAATCTTACGTTCAATCCAAACTAAATTTCAGTTGATATAGACAAATGAAATAAAATACACCTGGGGTTTTAAATGTTTTCAATTTTTTATTATTCACAAAGTTTGTAAAGTATAAAAGTAGACTACATGTTGCATGTTTCAAACTGAATGAGTTTTATTTTTGTTGTAGGTGTGTTGGTGTAAAAATTGATGCTGACTGGTCAGTACTGCATTTTTATAAATAATACAAAAAAATATGTGTTTGCTCTTTCAGAACTCAGGCAGTTGTGCTGGACCATCTGTACTTCATACAGGGGATGACAAACTTACAAGTTTAAGAGGTAAAATGTTCAGCGTTTTTGTTTGATATTGATGCTTTTATTTTTATTATTTGGCAAAACCAATTACTTGAACCTATATTTTTACTAAGTGTTTACAGGAACACATTTTGCTTCAGTAATTTTGAATTTTGTTAACATGTATTCAAACTAAAAGTACTGGGTTGATGTGGGTGTTTTATCTGGGTTTTTTAAGCTGCTACTGTAATCTGTTAAATGAATAAAGCAGTTATTTATTATTATTATTTATTTTTACAACATTTAAAATGTTACAAGTTTTTTATTTTGGTAATGTCTGTTTAAAATGATAAGAAAATAACTGGTCCACTGCTGAATCTCTTTTCTTTTCTCTCTTAGCCACCTGATGATGAAAAAGACATTTTCAATGTGGGCATCTTGATGGTGAGCCAGACCTTCATGCTGATTTTGTGACCGTTTAATCTATTTATCGTGATTGTAATAAAAAAATTTTCAGGATGCAAAACTGGCTAAAAATCAACTTTAAATTTTAACATTAATTGTATGATAGTGTGGTTGATTTAACATTTTATTTAATGTTGGGTTCATTGTAAAAAATGATTGATTGGTTGAAAAAATGGTTGAATAAATGCTGATTTTGGGACAGTTTTGTCTATTTATCATCATAGAATTAACATTATTTCAGGGTGGAAAACTGCCTAAAAATCAGTGATGACTTTTAACATTGTTTCAATGATAGTTTGATTGATGTTTTAACATTTCAATGTTAATTTAACTTAGGTCTGCTATCTGGAAAATAACTTATTTTAAAAATGCTAAAAACTTATGAATGTGCCACTTGAATTTGGTATCACATGTAATTGGCATGTTATGGAATTTAACTATGGCAAATAAGTAAGAGGAGATGGAAAGCTATGATATCTACACTTTTTCCTGAAACATTTGCAAGGTCAATTCTTTCTTGCATAAAGATAGTGGAAAAGAAGAAAAAGTATAACTTATTTTTGTTTCTGCACTATATTTATTTGATTAAGTAAATAATTTTTAAAAAATTTCTTTTAAATTATGTAGCAGACATGTATTTGAATAATTTTACATAATAATTATATTATTTATAATATTAATAATAATATTAATAATTTAACATATAGGTGTGCATATATGTAATGTAATGTAATGTAATGTGTATTTATATAGCGCATTTATTGTGTATGACCATACACCCAAAGCGCTTTACAATCATGAGGGGGGGTCTCTCCACACCACCACCAGTGTGCAGCATCCACTTGGATGATGCGACGGCTGCCACAGGACAACGGCGCCAGGGCGCTCACCACACACCAGCTATTAGTGGAGTGGAGAGACAGTGATAGAGCCAATTCGGTGGAAGGGGATGATTGGGAGGCCATGATCATAAGGGCCGATAGAGGGACTTTGGCCAGGACACCGGGGTTACACCCCTGCTCTTTCACGAGAAGTGCCATGGGATTTTTAATGACCACAGAGAGTCAGGACCTCGGTTTAACGTCTCATCCGAAAGACGGCGCCCACTGACAGTGTAGTGTCCCCTTCACTTTTACTGGGGCATTAGGACTCACACAGACCACAGGTTGAGCGCCCCCTGCTGGCCTCACTAACACCACTTCCAACAGCAACCTAGTGTTCCCTTGCGGTCTCCCATCCAGGTACTAACCAGGCTCAGCCCTGCTTAGCTTCAGTGAGTAACCGGTCTTGGGCTGCAGGGTGACATGGCTGTGGCTCCTATATTATATGTACCCAAATATGTACATATAATATAGGAAAACAGCCAATTTTATATGCGTCACATATATCAAAAACCTATATTAAACCATATGTTTCTTTCCATATTCTTTCCATGTGGGCATGTACCAGACCCAACACACAACTCACTTTTCTTTTCTTTTTTTCAGAAGAAGAGTCCACAGTCACAATAACAAGATCATTGAGCTGTCCCCTAATTGTGGTCAGCTACATGTTTAGTCTCTTATGTGCTATAAACATTATGTAGCCTAAGGAAGCAGCCCTGACTCTGTAGTTTATATAAAGGTATGTTTTTACATTTTTAAGTTTATTTCATTTTTACAAGACAAGTAAGGTGATGCATGTTTGTTGTATTTACAACAGGAGCATGCTGAGTAACTATCCAGAACGTAGGTCCAAAGCAGAAAAAAGGGCACCAAGCAGAAACATACCATCTAAACTCCTTCGATTCCTGTCAGATCAGAAAGACTTTCAGAATCCTTGGAAGATTTAAAGGTAATTAAGCACACCGATAACACTTTATAATAACTAAACACTATTGATTAATTTATTAAGCATTAGCAAAAAGTTCTGTTAAGCATTGACTCTACATTTAATAGACCTTAGTATACAGTTTATAACTACAGCTGCAAATGCTGTAATCTTGACTTAAAAGCACATCTATTATGTGCTTAATTATTTTGTTTTCATATTTTGTTAATGATTAATTTTTCATTACTAAATTTAGTATCGCATTATTTACAAACCAGTGATTTAAGAATAGTTGGTGTATTTTTTTTCTAATCATTCAGAATGTGTAAGTAAATGGTTAATAAACTATTCAAACTAACATTTAAATATCCTTTTATTCAGGCATATAGTAATAGTTGGGCAGCACAGTGGCTCAGTGGCTAGCACTGTTGCCTCACAGCAAGAAGGTTGCTGGTTCGAGTCCCAGTTGGCATTTCTGTATAGAGTTTGCATGTTTTCCCCGTGTTGCTGTGTGTTTCCTCCGGGTGCTCAGGTTTCCCCCACAGTCCAAAGACATGCGCTATAGGGAAATTGATTAACTAAATTGGCTGTAGTGTATGAGTGTGTTCGTAAATAAGTGTGTATTGGTGTTTCCAAGGGCGTACTCAAACACACAGCAACACGGGGAACATCAAAAGTGGCTGATCTGTTCGGCTAAATATTTGACTGCGTGTTACTGCATCCCAAACGACTAAAACAAAAGATTGTAAGAATTCTCCACTGTGCTGAGAGAGAGCACTTCTTAAACTAAACGGGGCATCATCGATGATGTAAGAGTGCTCAGGCTTGAATGCAATTTGAATGCGGGACGTCGGGGGAGACGGTAGGGAGGACAAGCGTGCTTCGGCTTGGTTCAAGGCAACTTTACATAGTGCGAGTACACACTAAGCTGAAGGAAAATACATGAATGAATAGTAATAGTTATACTTGTATATAAAGTATAAAAAATAAGTATATAAAGTATATTCAATACTTATTTTAATAAGTGCTTTTGTTAACTTCATCCAGTTTTGTAGCCTAAAGTGAGGATTGTTTATGCTTTGTAAATCCCCTTATAAATCACAATTAAAGGTTCAGTTATATTCTAAAAATGAAATTCATTTTATTGTATTAAATGAAAAATAAATCTTTTCTAAAATAAAATTACTGTACAGTTTAAACATAGCTAAATAACACTGAAATGTTGCATCGTAATATATCATTAAATTATTTTATTGTTGTTTTATCCAGTTTTATGTTATATTTTGTCACTCCTGCTATTCAGCAAGGTTTCATATTTACAGTAATTACATTTTTTAGATAAGACTGTAATGATTTATTGTTCATTTGATACTGAGCCTTTAACTGTCGTTTATAAGGATTTATAAATCATAAATAATCCTCACTTTAGATTAGGCCACCAAACTGGAAGAAGTTTTGTAAATAATGCAATATAATATAATATAATAATTAATATAATATAATATAATAATTTTTTATATATATATATATATATAAATAGTCATGTAAAATCAATCATTAAAGTTTGTTAACACAATTATTAAGCACATTATAAATGTGCTTAAGTCAAGATTACAGCATTTGTAGCTGTATTTATAACCGACTGCTAACATCTATTAATGTAGAGTCAATGATTAACAGAACTATTGACATGCTAGGAATCACCCCAGTTGTAAGTGAAATGTCATTAGTAATGTTTTTTTTTTGTTTGTTTGTTTTACAGCCATTGAAGTATCAGTATTGGAGAGGAAGAAGACCCAGTTGTATCGTCTGTTTCCTGCCATTTTGCAGTTAACCTGGTTTCCTAATGTAAAGTACTTGTAATTTGCCCACTTGTCCTCAATTATCTTAAAGCTAACATTTAAAACTAATTTGCTATGAGATTATTTGCCAAGACTTCTCACTGTGTGATTCACATGTCAATATGTATTATTGTGTGTATAACTAGATATTTGGAATTCAAATGATTTGTATTCATTAAAAAATCTGTTTTAATTGCAAAGTTGTTTTTGTACTAATCATTGTAAGTTCATAGATAACAAACTATTTACTGCTTCTCTACACATACAGTATCGAATAAATGTTTTGTTTTACTATTGTAAACCATTAATAGTGTATTTCCCATATGTATATGTTTGTCCTTACCAATTGCCATTTCTATGCTGCTTGAAGAGCATAAAATTAGTAAAATAATTATTTTTTACAGTAGGTATACTATTAAAACACAGAATATTTCCGCTTTTTTACTGTTGGTATACCCTTTAAAACACAGAAAATAACCGTTTTTTTATATAGAAAACCCTTAAATTACTATAAAATGGTTGGTTATTTTACAGTAGTTTAACTGTCAAAAAACGGATATTTTTTAGTTTTTTTTAATGTGGACACACTTGTCAATTAACAGAAGTTTTCCGTTTTTAATTTACGGTAAAATATTTGTGTAATGAGCTGCCAGTACATTTTACCGTTTTTTTACGGAATTTTTTTTTAGAGTGTGGAATCTGGAGTTGCAAATTACATTTAATTACTAATATATATATATATATATATATATATATATGCATAAGTCTTTTGTGGTATTTAAATATCAAAGTAAAGTTTATGCTAGATTTTTGCTAGTTAGAATACTACTGCTGATATTATAGCAGTAATGACTGATTTGTGGATAAGTAAATTGTATATTTGATTGAACATTTTTTCATTTTAATTTGAAAAAGTTTGCATAAAATGTGTGTATATGCTAATAATAAAAATTGATAATATTAAAATAATAAGCACAATAATAATAATAATAATAATAATAATAATAATAATAATATATTTGCTATATATACACACACATTTTTATATTTCCCAAATGATGTTTAACAGAGCAAGGACATTTTACAGTATGGCTGATAATGTTTTTTTCTTCTGGGGAAAGTATTTTTTTGTTTTGTTTCTGCAAGAATAAAAGCAGTTTTTAATTTTTTTAAATCATTTTAGGGTCAAAAATATTAGCTCCTTTAAGCTATATATTTTTTGCTTGTCTACAGAACAAACCATGTTTATACAATAACTTGCCTAACCTGCCTAGTTAACCTAATTAACCTAGTTAAGCCTTTAAATGCCACTTTAGGTTGTTTAGAAGTGTCTTGAAAAATATCTAGTCAAATATTATTTATTGTCATCATGGCAAAGATAAAATAAATCAGTTATTAGAAATGAGTTATTAAAACTATTATGTTTAGAAATGTGTTTAAAAAATCTTCTCTCCGTTAAACAGAAACAGGGGAGAAAAAAATTGACAAACAATAATTCTGACTTTTATTGTATATATAAGTGTGTGTGTGTGTGTGTATAGTAAATATGTGTATATATAGCTAATATATTACTTTAGTATTATCAATATTTATTATTAGCATGTAAACACATTTTAAGCAAAGATTTTCAAATGAAAATGACAACATTTACAATTAAATATATAATAACTCACCCCAAAGGGGTTAAAAACCTTTACGAATTTTATTGTTCTTTTAAAAACTAAAGAAGATAATTTGAAGAATGTTACAAAAAGTCAGTGGCCACCGGGCAACAAGATATCTCAAAAACATTTATTTTATGTTGAACCTAAAAAAAGAAACTCAAACAGGGTTGTGAAAAATTTGTTATTACTTAAAGCTACATGCAGGACAAATACACACACTGATATTGTTAGAAAATATTATTTGCGTTCCATGTTCAAAATCCACATTAAAAAGCTAGGTGCACTGTCACAGTGTTTATACTTGCATCCTTATATATATATATATATGGACATATATATGAGGAGTTCAGATGCAAAAACCTCAAGTGCCATCTGAAATTTCCATCGAAACTGAACATTTTACTCAACTTCCTTTGGTTATGTTGAGATATAAAGGACTTGTTCTTTGCTATCAAAGTAATATTACTGAACAAACACACAGGAGCCTGATAAAAACGCTCATTTTAGTGGAAAAACTTAGACAGCATTTACAAGTTTTTGCATCTAAACTCTTCATATATATATAGCTTATAGGCATAATGGCACAGTAAGAACCCTGTACTTTGTTAGCGCTATTACCAAATCCTTACAACCTTGTGACTTATATCGACATTGTGGTTTCATTATCATTTTTAATCTTTTCCTTGCAAAAGGATTTGTGTTTTGATGGATTGGAACAAACTCTGAGATCTTTATCACGAGTCCTCCAACAGCAAGACCACACTTGAATGTTGCTCTAATAAAAGTTCTGAAATATGAACAGAGTCATGGCAAGCATTTACAAACCGCAGAACCTTTCGCACACCTAGTCAGTTAAATTAATGCATTTATGAGGTTGGAGGGGCTCAAATCTTTTCCAGTTCAGAAAACCCCCAGCTCTCAGCCTCTCTCTCTCTCTCTCTCTCACACACACACACACACACACACACACACACACACACACACACACACACACACACACACACACACACACACACACACACACACTCTCTCTCTCACACTTCACTCTTTGAGGTTTGATCACAGACTCTGAGTCAATGTCATCCTGCTATCTCTCTCTCTCACACACACGTCCTCCATAAGTCCTTAATTATCATCAGGCTTTTGAACGGGCAGCCTGCACCTGTCAGGGGGCTTTGCAATGAAAGCAGAAGTGTTGGGTGGTAACAAATTACTTGTAGCATATTACTGTAAAAATTGCCCTAAGCAAACATTAGTGATGGAGAACCTGGTGTTTAAGATAATAAAAACCCCAAAATGACCCCCAAACCTCCCCTGAAATAAGCAGTTTCACAGTCAACAAAAATAAACTGGATAAATACAAGAGGAAAAAAGGTGTAAATGAAATAAACTATTTAGTCTACTAAAAATATAGGCTATTTAGTATAAAGGGAATTGAATCAAGTATTTAAATTTACTCTACTTTTTAGACTCTGCATTATATATATGGATCATTTATCAGGACAATTAATAACTAACTCTCCAAATTTCAAAGAGTTGTTTGTTTTGTTGGTTGAATAAATTAAATCACAGTGTATCTGTTGCGTTTATGACGGAGCGGTGGAGGAGCATTTTTCTCAGATGTCTGCATGGTTACAAGGCACGCTCCCAGTGCAAGCAACTGGTCACGTTGGTTACATTAAAGGAAGCTATAGCAGATTTCCCTTCATTGTATAATATTGTGCCTACTTTAGCCATGGCATGACAGCAAAATTCCTTGATTATTACTCTGGATTTAGTGTACAGTTTCTAGACTTATCAGCCAATAAAACATCACTGTGTTACTTAATGTAGATTTTGGTCATATAATGAGTTAGAAACAACAATTTTAGACAAGCTAATAGCTACACCTGCTTACAGTAGCATTTTCCATGTACACATGACAATCTAATCTTTAGAAACAACAAATAATAACTTGATTTCTAGTTGATCATTTACAGTATATCAGAAACGGCTTGTATGAAAGGAAAAGGTCTCTTAGATTACGCTTATTTCAATAAAATAAAATATGATAATGCCTTGATTTTTAATTATTTAATTAGGATTTTTTCTGGATTTTTTTCTACATGTCATAAACTTGCGTCTTGACATTCTAGATTTTTTTCAAAAGTTATAAACTTACGTCTTCACATTTTGGATTTTTTCTAGACGTTATAAACTTACGTCTTGACATTCTGGATTTTTTCTGGATTTTTTTCTAGATGTCATAAACTTGCGTCTTAATATTCTGGATTTTTTTCCGAAATTATAAAATTATGTCTTCACAGTAAGGTCTGACTTTGCTTAAACAAAAGTCTTGTCACTTAACAGAAATAATGTACAGTATAGAATATAAAGTCATGGTGCAGTGAAGAAAGTAAATAATATTGAGTGTGACTCCTATGAGCTCGGAGGACTGCTTCCATACATCTCTGCAAGACTCAAATAACTTCATAAAATCATCTGGAATGGCAAAGAAAGTGTTCTTGCGGGACTTCCAGAATTCATCAAGATTTTTTGGATTCATCTTTAATGCCTCCCCCTTCACATCTTTCCCCAGACATGCTCAATAATGAATGGTGACTGGGCTGGCCAATCCCAGAGCACCTTGACCTTCTTTGCTTTCAGGAACTTTGATGTGAAGGCTGACGTATGAGGAGGAGCGCTATCCTGATGAGAAATTTGCCCTCTCTTGTGGTTTGTAATATAATGAGCAGCACAAATGTCTTTATACATCAGGCTGTTGATTTTGCCATCTCTTGCACAACCTAGTAGTGAATGTAACCCCAAACCATAATTTTCCTTCACCAAACTTGACTGATTTTTGTGAGAATCTTGGGTCCACGTAGGTTCCAATAGGTCTTCTGTAGAATTTGTGATGATTGGGGTGCAGTTTAACAGATGATTCATCTGAAAAATATACCTTCTGCCACTTTTTGATCAACTAGAAGTCAAGTTGTTATTTGTAGCTCTTACACAACTGTGATTGACGACCAGACTTTTGTTAGGTAGTGTACATTAAATGTTGATTAGCTTTGTGTTTGAAGCGTAAAAACAGCTTTCTCTGGGATGATTGTGTAGAAGCAGAACACTGACATGTACTGGAATATGATTATTGAATGTGCAGCAAATGATCTTTAGGGAGTCATAACAGCAACTGTGAAAGTATATACCAAGACAGTGCCCAGATTATTACAAAACTAATGTAACGAGTCTTGAAAAGAATTACTACTTTTCAGGAGGTCACAAGTAAAGTAGAAATAATGAAAGGAGTAACGAGAAATACATGTTGGTATAGTTTTCCCACATCAGTACAATCACCACTAGCCCTGTAAAGTGTAAGATGTCATTCTCCTCTTCATGGACTTTTTTATTAACAAAGCTGAAGATCCATGCTTAAAGAAAAGCCAAACAAGTAATTAATTACAGGGTAATTTTTTTTTACTGTGTCTTATTTGCTGCCGTAAGCGTTTGGCTTCAGTTTCTTTAACACCATTAAAAATGGGTGTTTAGATGCTCCTAAAAATCTGTGCTTGCATTCCGTGGAAAAAAATAATCAAAGAGGCATTGTTCTAAAGTGAAGGATGGGGAAAAGAAGAGAAAAAAAACAGCGTTGGAGAGAGTGAGCCAAATTCAGTCTTTAAAGAAAACATTACATAATTCCCTTTGTATGATTTGCACAGACAGAGAACATGTGCCTCACTAATCTAACTGCTCGTTCTCTTCCTCCATCAAGATGA